TATGTACTTTCTAAGATTATTCAGACACCACTGACAAACGGTGAAGGAAAAACATCGTGAGGAAACCTGGACTTATAATTTCTAATTGTAAGTTTGAAATCGCCAACCCGCATTGAGCAAGCATGGTGATTAATGCTCAAACCTTCTCCGTGTGAGAAGAGGCTTTGCTCAGCAGTGGGCACTTATAAGCTGTTGATGAATGAATGTAGTTATAACTATAGTAAAATAGTAATTAGCTGACCTAACAACGGGGAAAATATTTAGTCTTTATTCCGCTGAAGAAATTAATTGCAGCGTGCAGATAAATCCTACCCGCAGATAAACAGTCATACAGCAGAGATGCGACACAAAATACAGACCAGACGCGCAACAAACTACTCGAACCACACTTGACATATGTATGTATCGCTCCTCCACGGAGCATTCTCAGGAGTTGTTGACTCGGCGGCTCCCGCGGCTAGAAAAACCTAATTATTTCCCCGGTTGTTAGTGAAGCATAGATTTCCGCAAAGTATCGCCTGATTCTATCCTTACTATATATCCTTACTATTCTTACTTCCTTACTATATATATATATATTATATATTATATATAATATTATAAATTGGAAAGTGAGTTTGTTTGTTTGTTTGTTTGTTCCGCTTTCACGCCGTAACTACTAAACCGATTGCTTTGAATTTTTGCAGACGTAAAGTTAGAAGTCCGGATTAAATAATAGGGTCCTTTTATCCCGGAAAAATTTGATATTTCCGAGGGAAAACAAAAGTATTGGTATAGATGGCGCTGTGTGTATTGATATATGTCACATAGGTTACTTTTATCCTTTTGTGACGCGAACGAAGCCGCGGGTAAAAGCTAGTTCTATATAAGTAGTGATGGTTGGTCGCGGTATAAAACAGTGATGGTTTCAATATTATAAATGATTTTTGTAACAAAATTTACCCTATCTGCATACTGATTACACACAATTCTCCTATTATTTTATAAACATATGCACTGTCTTATCTCAAGCCGTTCCCTTACCTAGTAATTGGTCAACAGCCAATTTCAATATCGGAAATTATCTATAGTTATTGAGACTGGCCTTTAAATCGTAAATAGATCAACTAATCCATTATTAATCCTTTCTTTCCTTCTAGATCCCTCTTCCCAAGAACTTATACCATATACCACCAGACTAGTCAAGATCGAAGAACCAATTTCGTATTACCGTTTCCAAAATAAAATCTCTTTTGATCTAAAACAGTTGAGTCTATTTTTGTAATCAAGGTTATGTCTGCAACACGTTAATGTTTTGTGCTCCAATTGATTTCGACGTCATTGGAAAATGAACCTTATTGCTGTTAATTAGTACAGTTTAATAGTTTCGTAAATACAAAAGATTATGAAACTTTGTTTATGTGACGTCACAAATCCGCAAAGATGGCAGACTTGTCGGCTTATACCGTTTTAAGTAATCTTCGCTGTATTTCACTTAATACTGAATGGAAATAGAATTGCTGCCAAGTCTAGCGAATAATTCTAGATTTTTAGACTTGTAAGTGCTTTTTTAAGGGTCCTCCATTAGCCTCGGAGGATAGAGGTTGATTGCTGATCGTTAACCCCTTCCAATAGTCGTTTGGCAGACAAAAATATTGGAAATAAAAAGTCGTATGAAGACAGACATTTTTTTTTTATGAGTTGGGCATATTACAAACATATCGAAATCTGCGGTCACGTCTGTCTGTCAGTTCCCAGTAAAGTCAAAAACTGCTGTATGTCGTATTCAACCAGAGAATAGAATAAGATACTTATATATAATAGGTTTTAGTGCGAGTAAAACTGCGTGAAGAAAGCTAGTAATTGTATAAATCTATCGTATTTTTTTACTGTTCATAAAACGTTCAAAGTTTGCGGTTGCCAACGGATGTCTACGGGGTTAGCGTCCATTTTAAAGATCATTTGCTACTGTTGATACAAGTGTACGCTACAGTCGTGCATTTGACCTTCGCAGCGTCTTTATTTCGTAAGCAATAAGTGTGACTTTCCAAAATTCAATTATGTTAGTATTAACACATGGACTACTACCTACTTATACATGGACATTTCCGTAAAAAGGTCAAGTAATTAGTAAGCAAACAGCGGAGGTGTTTGCAAGCTGATTAGGGACTTCAAGAAACTTCTAGCATTATAGCAAAATTCTTAGAGTAATGGTAGCAAGACTCCTAAAATATAGATGATTTTGTAAACATGTCTACAGATGTGTTTATTGCTACAGATTTCGTAATAAAAACCACAAACAGGTTCCTTAAGGTCACATCAACTAATTTACACAAACCATATTGTACATACAACATAAAAGAATGAATATTCTTAATCTTAATGATACACTGATCTAAAAGTCAATAAAGGTTATAAAACATCTATAGGAGAACATATAAAGTCTCGCGTATATTTTTGGCGGGGTTTATGGCGGCAATTGCCTATTGACAGCTGTCAAAATATAAAAACGTCAAATATTCATGGATTAATGAATGATGGATACAAAATACGATTAAAGTAAACGAATAGGTGTTATGGTCGATCGTTCAATAAATATTAAACTTTAAATAGGATTGCCTTGTACGGGATTACGACCGATTACGTTATTTTATACGTGAACTATAATGTTGTTGGTAATAAAATCATGTTGCCAGCAATAAAATTGGGTGTCGATAATTTTATAGTTTAGTGGTATTCGAAGGTATGGAAAGTGTTTAGAATATGGGCGTAGTTTTTGAAAGTACGACATTGATTTGTTTCAATGAATCTATCCAATAGAAGAATTTTGCAGAGGTATCAAAAACAATGACAGTTTTGAATACTTTAGGCTGTAAAATATGTTGTTATCACATTGTAAATAAGGCACTATTTTCTCTTATTTATTTAAACTAATCTACGATTTTATTTGCTAAAAGTTCTAAGTGCTGGGTAATAATTTATGTTCCGTAAATACCTCGTTTAATAAGGTTCATAGTACTAAAACATCAAGATAACAAATAACCATAGCGTAAGTTACGCTTTACAGCCCTTCAAAGTAATCCATCACTAAGCCTAATCTACAACAATCAAGCAGTTTTGTAGTAAACAGTGGTAAAATAACATACATATCAACAACCCGTAACAATATACTGTTGGGCTATGTGCCTATTAAAGGGGTTTGCATAATGTCCACGTTTTTATTTTGAGGGG